ACTGAGGGGTTCTCACAACCCCCTCCTTGGGTTTGATAACTTGCTAGAATGGCTCACAAAACTCAGGAACGCACTTTACTTACCATTATCCATTTATTGTAAAGGATACAACTCAGCAACAGCTAAACGGAAGAGGTGTGTAGGGCAAGGTATGTGGGAAGGGGCACAGAGCTTCCATGCCCTCTCCATGCCCTCCACTCTCCCAGCACCTCAATGTGTTCACTTACTTGGAAGCCCTTCAAACCTCTTCAGTTAGGTTTTTTTTTAATGGAGGCTTCACTGCATAGGAACGATTGATTAAATCATTGACCGTTAGTTAACCAAATTAAATCAACCTCCAGCCTTGTGTCAGGAGGTGGACCTGAAAGTTCCAACCCTCTAATCACAAGGTTGGTTACCCCGGCAACCAGTCTCCATCCTGAAGGCACCCAGGAGACCGCAGCCACCAGATGTCTCATTAGCATACAAAAGACACTTACCGGGGCTTCCCTGGTGGCTCAGTGGTTGAGAGTCCGCCTGCCGATGCAGGGGACACGGGTTCGTGCCCCGGTCCGGGAAGATCCCACATGCCGCAGAGCGGCGGGGCCCGTGAGCCATGGCCGCTGGGCCTGCACGTCCGGAGCCTGTGCTCTGCAACGTGAGAGGCCACAGCAGTGAGAGGCCCGCGTACTGCAAAAAAAAAAAAAAAAACACAGTTACCATTTCTGAGATTCCACGGGTTTGGGGGGAGCTGGTGCAGAGACCAAATACATATTTCTTATGTGTCTCTGTGGTGGGAAGAAGGGAGGCATTTTTAAACTGTCTGTGTTTAAGTCATGCAAGAATTCACCGATATTGGGTACTTAGTGTGTACAAGCTTCGACCCAAGCAGCAGAGCTGTGGTGATGACCAAGACAAACCTGCCTCCAGAACATGATTCCACCTTAGCATTCGCCCCTCCTGCTGTTTTCTGTGCCAAGGGATGCAGTTGCTGGCACTGGTGCACACTCGCACTAGCAAACCAAGGCAGGGTGACCCGCTACTGATGGAGAGAGTGACCTGTGTCTCTCAGGCTGGGTGATGAAAAAAAATGTTGAGAGCCACAATTCAGTCTTAACCACCTTCTCCTTTGGAGTTGATTTACCTTTTATTTTTCCTCCCTCTGAACTCAGAGTGAATCTACAACATGAAAATATCTGCGTTTCTTCAGTTCTGGAAAATTCTGAGACATTTTCTCTTTTATTGTTGCCTTTTCCTTAACCTCTCCTTCTGGAACTCTGGTTGGAAAATGTCATTCATCCTCAGTGTTTCTTAACTTGGCTTTCATAATTTTTCTTTCCTTCTCCGTGTTCTGGATTTATTCATTCTGTCTTCTACCTTGCAGTCTTCAGCTCAATCCTAGCACTGATTTCTTTTTTACTATTGTATTTTTCAGGTGTCAGAATTCTACTTGATATTTTTTAGATTCGCCCCATCTTTTTTCTTCGTCTCCTATTCTTGCATCATAAATTTAGTCCCTTCTCTGGTAAATTTGAACATTTTAAATATACTTATTTTAAGATCCATGTCACCTAAACGTATAATAGGCAGTCCCCTGTGGTCCAGTCTGCTGACTTTCTTTCTTGTTAGCAGGGTTCCTCATGTGCTTTGTAATAGTTCTCTCTCTGCTCATCTTTTGTAGATGCTGCCTTCATGTTCTGGCAATGTTATATTAACTCTTTTCTGCACAACTATATTTTCAGAGTTTGTTCCTTCAGCCTGGACACGTTTCCTTTCTTCATCCCTGTATTGTGGTTGTGCCTATAAAATCCATATTAGTGTGGAGTTATATTCTGTCCTCTCAAGTGTAGAACTTTTACCATTTAAACCCAGAACACAACTGAGAGGAAAAATGGTGTCTTTTCTTCTTGGCTTTTTCCTCTATTTAAAAAAAAAAAAAAAAGACTATCCTCATATAAATATTTTTGAACAAAATTTTGTAGAACATAACTGATTTATTACTTACATAATAAAAAATATCTATCCTTGTATAAATATTTTTGAACAAAATTTTTATAGAACATAACTGATTATTACTTGGAAATATATATGTCACTGCTTTATTTCTTTATGCTTTAGTTATATGCATATTTATTCAACTTTTAAAGTAAAGCTATTTAAGAAGATTATATAATAAGTTTGAACTAATATCATGCTCAATTTTGGCACTAATTTTCTCTATGATTAAATATTTCTAATACCTGTCAGAAACTAATATCTAAAAATAAATCTCTCATTCTGATACATGGAGATTGGTTAAAGTACTTCAGAAACAAACTGCTATCAAGAGCTTTCCGACACCTTCTATGAACTGATTTATAAAAGATAATCCATATGCTAATTGAAAATTATTTTTATTTCTTCTTTAAATCAGTCTCCTAAGGAATGATTTCTTAGGCAACTTATATTGAAGTAATTTGAATACAGAAAGAATGGCGCATGGATGGAAACCTAAGAGGCCAGTGTGTATCAGAGGATGATCTTGATTGAGTTACTTGAGTTCTCCCTGCGTTTGCCATTCCATGTGTTGAGTGACAATTATTAAAGCTCATAATTATGTGATCTTTTTCCCAGTCTATGCTCTATCCTAGGCCACAAGTTTTCAGGCTGACTACAGTGTTTTATTATAATTATTGATTATGTGTCATCTTAGTTTCATAACTAGACAGTGTTTTAAAGAGCAGGGAGCGTCTTCTCATGGTGGTTATCTAAACCTAAGCAGTACCTCCGCTGTTAACAGCTGGTGGATTTAGAATGTTTGTGAGTTTTCGGTATCCATTGACAATTTGTGGGGTGTGGCTTTATAAAAGACAGTTTGGCATGTTATCCTTAATTAGTGAATAAAATCTATGTGGTCTTCTTTGATAATGGTAAATGGTATCTGTCATATCTGTGGATGTGTTTTGCTAATTTATATTTGATGCTTTAAAGCTGTAAGAGGTGCATATTCAATTCAGTCCTAATTATTTGGGTTTACGTCCTCCTTTCAAGGTTTTTCTGAAAAGTAATAACTTCTTTCCAGGGAAAACGCACATGTACACATACATGAGCCCAGCATTTTGCATGAATTTAAGGGGGCCTTGATATCAATATAAATATACACACACATATATACATGCACATGTATAGGGAAAATATTGATCTTGCATGATATTAATATGCTAATTTGGGATTATTATCGAAAAACCTGAGATTCTATATTTTGCTGTTAATCTTTTTTAAAGAAATAATTTTATAGTTACTCATTTTTTTAAAGTAACTTTAGGTGTATTTTTCTCAGAGGCCTGAAATGGGTTTACCCTATGCAACCCATAAACACGTTTTGTTTAGCCCACAGACAAATGGGGCCAACTCTAAATTTGGGACATTTCACATTAAAATCAGGATTTTTGCTTTCTTTTAAAAAAAGACCTGTAAACACTGGGTCCATCTTCCCCCCATCGACCAAAGCTGCGTAGAGGCTCCATTATGAAGATGGAACGTGCCTGTCTCCTTTGCCGCAGTTCCCACACGTCTCTACTGCCTTCATGACTCTGATGGCTGAGCATCGATTGCCGTTTTCATTGTGCTCAAGCAGCCGTTTACTTACAGAAATTATAGAAATGGTTTCCTGTTTTCATATTTTGCTATCGAAGTAGATAAATGAAAGTCAAACCAAAAGGGCAAAGACTGCAAGAAAAACAGGAAAGTGCCTATTTCTTTCTTTGTTATTTTTAATAAATTTATTTATTTATTTTTGGCTGTGTTGGGTCTTCGTTGCTGTGCGCAGGCTTTCTCTACCTGCGGTAAGCAGGCTTCTCATTGCAGTGGCTTCTCTTGCTGTGGAGCACGGGCTCTAGGCTCCCAGGCTTCAGTAGTTGTGGCACGCGGGCTCAGTAGTTGTGGCACACGGGCTTAGTTGCTCTGCGGCATGTGGGATCTTCCTGGACCAGGGCTCGAACCTGCGTCCCCTGCGTTGGCAGGCGGATTCTTAACCACTGCGCCATCAGGGGAGCCCCAAGTGCCTGTTTCTTTAGGAAAGTAAAAAATATGTACTCAGTCTGCTTTACGTATTTGTGTTACATGTCCAACCCCTGCTTTAGATGGTCAGATGGTGATATCTGGTCTCAGCACAAGGAATAGTTGCACTTTTCATGAGCCATTTGTTTGGTGGTTTTGTTGCTGTTTTTATTTTATGAAGGATCCAAACTGTCTAGCAAAGCATAGTAGGACTTTATAGCATAAATCGGAGTTCACTGGGGAACATGTCTTATTATTGTATTTTTCTACTTTTATTTCTTTATTTTGTCAAATACTCTCAAAACATTTTTATATTTTTATACTGTAAATGTATATATCTTTATAAGCAGTCTCAGATCATTTTACACAATTCACAGTAATGAAATACAAGTAAAACATTTCAATATATCCATATATTAACCTGTGTTACCTGCCTTCCTGTTCTCTGCAGTAGCTCTGCCTACTTAGGGGTCTTGGTGACACTTGGCCATCACTGTAGGACGAGCCAGTGGCCAGCTGGCTTTTCAGTGGTCTTTGCTCTGACAGGTCCCTTTCTTCACAGAAAGCACCTTCACCATCCGTCAGAGTTTAAGCATAGCTGTCAGCCTTCCAGCGTTGAGCCTGAGCCAGGTTGATTAGGGTCTGGGAAGGAGAAGCAGCTCACTCTCTTAGAAATGCAGATTTTTTCCCTTCATTTTCCCGTTTATAAGGCTATGGGCTAGTAGCAATGTAGCACTTACTGTCTTTGAATTTATCTGATTTATTTGTGTACTTATTACCCGTCTCCCCCAGGAGTCCCTTTTCTTTCACGTCTGTGGCCCAGAGCCTAATGCAGCACCTAGCACATAGTAGGTCCTTAAAAACTACTTGTGGAACAAATGGTAAAGTAGATAAATTACAGTGCTCATTTTAATAAAAATCACTTAATTTAAAGGATGCTGTTTTGTCAGTCCTTCTCATCTTTTATGTTTTCTGTCCACCAGGTGCGGTATTGGAATAATGGAGAAGAGGGATCATCGAGCAAACTGAAAGTGGCAGGAAATGTGACATCGGCCAGACTCCATGGCTTGAAGAGCAACTTGGAATATTACACGGCTGTCCGGGCTTTCAACAGCGCTGGTACCGGTCCCTTTAGTGCCACAGTTAATGCGACCACCAAGAAAACTCGTATGTATCTTGTGATTTTTTTTAACGTCAAAAAAATACTTTGCATTTAAAATGGTAGCCTTCTTTATCATTTTAGATGGACAACACAAGTCAGTAAGCCCAATGAATGATGTAAACCCAACTCCAATCCCTTGTAAACTCAGAGGCACACATACATGTCTTCCTGATACCCCTAAATCTTCAGTTAGAAACCCCATGTGAAAATGAATGCGCATCTTTTGAAAAATTTTAGAGTGGGATGTTTAGTCACGTCCATCCACTTTTCTTTTAAAATGTGATCAAGCTAATTGGTTTATTTCATGTATTTTTAGTTCTCCAAAGCTTGAGGATTTTTGATAAGCATGAATAACTTAAAGTTCAGGCCAAAGAATCAAGAGTGATGTTTTTCTTCTTTTCTTTCCTACTTATTCAAAAGAGGGCAATGTACAATAAAAGGTTACCAGCCAAAGATGTTGCTCCACATGAATATGTGGATATTTTTAAAAATCTGACCAGAGATGTCAGTGTTGCCTTCAAAGCTGAGTCTTTGTTAGCTGTGTATTCACAGATACATTCACAAGCACCAATTATGAGCTATATATTAACCTGGCTTTAAATTAGGCTACGGAAAAATCAGTGATTTGCAATTTTGTAGTCTTTCACGTATATTTCCATGAAACTGATAACCCCAGTGTATATTTAGTTACTGTATTGTATTGCTACTTTCTCACAATGCAACCATTTGAATTACTCTTGGCATCATCATCGTAGCTAATAGCAATTAGAACATTTTATGTTCACATGCTTTACATGTATTCCCACACCTAAACTTCATACCTACCACATGAGGTAGGTGTCGTTTTTACTTCTTTTTGAAAGATGAGGAATGTGGGCATGACAGGATTAACTTTAATTTTAAAACAATGGTGCAGTAAAACAATTTTTCTTCTTAATTTATTTTCAAAATTAGTTAACCCAGTAAAAATGTTTTGTTAACTGGCCCTATATGGGAATGAGACAGTTATTGTGTTTGACTGCCAATTTCATTAATGCATTTCTGTTTCCGTATATAATTCCCAAACTTTCGTGAGAACGTGCAGTTGGCTGGCGAAAATTGCTAAGAACAACAGTAGTATAAAATCTAATTTTATTACTAGTGTTATTTATGGGTAAGTTAAAATATATATAAAACACAATTCTACTATGGATTTTCATTAACCAGTGTTCATTTGATCAGGAAAGTTCATATTTTTACCTTTGTATTATCTATTGAAAAGAGAATTTGGAGAGAAAGTTTAGCAACCAAACATTTTAATCCCTTTAAGTAGCATATATTTACAAGCAACCAACTAATGTGGTAATTAATTATCCTTCACTAATTATTAGGAGAAGCCTGACGCCATCTCTTATAACACATGGTTGGGGTTAGACCAAGGAGCGTGTCGGTTTGCCAATAAACTGAATATATTCTGCGTTTAGAACTTTTCGCTAAATATATTTGGTATTCCCAGTAGTGCTTCTGAATTAGTAAGATTTAAATATACATAATTATGATATGTTCAAAGCACAGCATCAATCAAAAATTCTGATTGCACTGATGCATGCGTACAAGGTTATCTGGCTCTTTCCTCCGACTTAATAATTGATGTGATTACTCGCTAAGAAATTATGATTGTAAAAGACTGTGTGACATCATCATGAAACCAGTGAAGAGCTTAGTGAATTGGTTAGACAGAAGGAAGAGATTGATTGTAAATCAATAGGAGTTTCATGGTAATGTACAGTGAGTGAAATAGAATTATAAAAAAGCACAACCCTTTAAAATTTAAAGATAGCATATAAATACCCAATCTAAAGTAGGAATTTGCAGGTTACAGTAATGATGGTGATTATGATTTTAATGACTAACACTTACAGAGCAATTTCCAGTCTCTGTTTTAAGTATGTTTCATGTATTGATTCTTAATTCTCACAGCAGCACCGTGACTTGGAAACTATTAGTAGTCTCACTTTAGAGACGCTGTGGAAGCACATAGAGGTCATATAACTTTCCTGAGATCACAGAGTAAGTAGCAAGAGAGCCATACAAATCCAGACATAGTCTTAACCACTGTGCTAGCCTCTCTTTCAACCGTATCATTCGAATGTTCATGTCGTATATAACACCGGTATTTATTGGGTTTTTAGTCTGTGTTTAGGAAGCAGGTAAGGTGATCAAAGATAGACAGGACTTCTGTGCTCATGGACCTGGAGTCTCATGGGAATTCCAGTAATTGAACAAAATCCCCCCTGCAAATGATACATTCCTATCGCCCCAATTTAACCGGAGTCTGCATGTGGGGCTGTAGGTGTTATTAAAGAAAGGTTTCCTACTTTGAGTGGGAAATTCATAGAGATAATTAAAATCCCTAACTATTCTAAGATTGTGTATAAAGACCATTGTTAAGTTTTAAATTTTACATTCATAATTTTTCTAATGTACCAAAATACAATTAAGACAATCTTTGAAAACTATTTCTAATATTATTTTACTGGCAGCTCTTAATAGTCACACTAACGTTTGACACGGTGTTAGCTTCAAATCCTAGTTACGAATTTTAATAAGGCTTTTGTGATTATCACTATGAAGAGAATTATTGTCATGCTTCAGGCATAAAGAACGAAGATAACATCTTTGAGTCTTTGCTTGCTATCTGTCTTCCCCTCTGGATTGTAAACTTTATGGGGAAAGAGTCCCTCTGTGTCTGTTCACCCAGCCCCAGTGCCCAGCCTGGCACTGGGAGCCACTCATTAAATGTTTAATGGGTAGCTAGATGGATGAATGAAATCTAAAGAAGCAGGCCAGCCTGAAGTACTATTATTAATCCTGTATACTTCCTCTTGACTGAACATGGTGAGTTCAGAACACTTACCGGAGTCCTTCACCATCTTACTTAAAATATGCAAGTTTCATGTACTTGTAATCATGGAATTCTGTATGCGAGGCTTTACATCCATACAGGTCTTGGGTGATATTTTTGATTAATGTAAATAATACAAGGATTCTCAGGTTAAGGACTGTAGCTTCCATTAAACAATTTTTGATATCCAAATACTTGTGTTTTTTTAAAGCATTTCTAAGTTAAACACTAATTAGCCTCTTTAAGTAATCAAAGATGGATTTTTGTTACTTGCAACCCAAAGAGAGCTAACTCTTAAGAACATCTTTTATCTAAAGGCACTGATGAGGAAAAATTGCAGATAGCATATAAATGACGAAATGGAACGGCTTCTAAAAGGAAACATACTGAGAAGTTTATGTTCGGAGATTGCAAGAAAGAATGTGGAGGGCAAATATTCTGCTTTGAATGACTGGAAAGTCAAGTGGTAATCGTGGCTTTCAGTATGGATAAGTTCAGCACTCAACATCCTCAACAATCACCTAACATCTCAAATTGATTATTTCTAAAACTAAGTTCTTTAAACCATCCACCCCATTTAAAACCTGGCCCTTCTACCCTATCAATATTCCCCATCTTGGTAAATTCAATCCCGTTATTGCAGTCGCTCAGCCATAAAAATTTGGGGGTCATCCTCAACTCTTCTGTTTCTCTTATACCCTGCACCTGGTCCAGAATCTGCCTGCTACAAGAATCTGCCACTTCCTAAGGCATTCACGGCAGTCGCCCTGGTACAAGTTGGTACAACCCTCACATGGATCAGGGCAGTGGCCCTTTATCATTCAGCCCATCTGCCTTTGTCTCCCTTAGGCCAGAGTGGTAGTGATGATGTTGCTTCTCTGCTCAGAACCGTCCAATCACTTCCCATCCCACTGCAGATAAATGCTAAATCCTTAAAATGCCCAACAAGGCCTTTACAGTCCATCCTGAAATCCTACTTAGACTCATTTCCTACTATTTTCTACCCGCTCCTTCCACCTTCCTTTCAGGGGCTGTGCATTTGCTGTTCCCTCTCCCCCGAAGGCTGTTCCTCCAGATGCCCAAGTGGGACTCTCCCCCATGCTCACATGTAACCTCAGTGCCACCTGACCGCCATATGTAAAAGTACAGCCCCTCATTTCCCGACACTCCCTGTCTCCTTTGCTGCTTTATTCTTGGGCATCTCCCTTAGAGCCACCACCCATGCTATAGCATGTTCGTAATTATTTTATTGTTGTCTCACCAGCCTGCTTTGACTGAAGGCCAGACTCCTTCAGGGCAGAGATTTTGCCTGTTTTCCTCATTACTCTATCCCCAGAGCTCTATCTTCAGTGTCTCAGTACTCACAGTTGGTGCCCTGTAAGTATTTATTAAACAATCAAGAATGTCTTCATCTCTTGGCTCTGTTCCATGGTGGCGTCATTCTCACCAGGTCCCCTCTTCAGAGTAACAGTACTGCCATTAAGCACCTCAAAGCCTATTCCTGTCAACTAAACATGCTGGGAAAAGGGCCAGCTCCTTCCTCATCCCTCCACTCAGAGCCAAGGAGGGGTCTTGGCTCTTCTAGAGCCAGGTTTTGTGGCAAGTAGGTGGAAACCCTAGATTGGCCTGGCCTGCATCACATGCCCAGATTCTCCCCTAGAACAAGAGCATCCTATTTTTTAGTGCCTTCACCAATGATTATACATGCGTATCTACTTGAGAAAATAGTGATATTAAATGGTGAAATCAGTTTTTCACTTGAGTGTCCACATTTCCAAGTGGAATGTTCATCCATGTAGGTTGAGCCAAAATTAATTGTCTGAATTTAAGGAAACCAATTAAGTGTGTCCTCAGGAAATGAAAAGGAAAGGTGAATAAAACAAGCCCTGAAACAATGTGAGTCAATATTTCAGAGGTTTTTGATAAAATGAATATTTCTGCCTCAAACACCTAATGTAGAAGTTTTCAAGCTTTCAAAGGTACGATTTCATTATATAATCATCCACTCTAAGTTAAGAGTTAACTCTAAGTTAAGTTAACATATCAGTACAAGGTTTCCCAAATTTTAGATGGTGATCTGCCTCCTCAGTTTTTGCCATTTCTGTGGGCCTTCTCTGCTAA